CAACTGGCGCATCACCACCCTTCTTCACCCCCTCCTCCCCCTCCACAGCATTCTTCTCTCCCTCACCAGCAGCAGCAGCAGCAACAACCTTCTTCTGCTTCGCCGGATCCGCCTTACTCAGATCCGCATCCGGATTCCTGCCCTTCTTCTTCATCAGCTCCTCTGCCCTTCTCCATATACACCCGATCCTCCTCCTCATTCCCGCCAAACTCCGCAAACTCGTCCGCAGCGCCCAAATCCACCTCGTCCCCGTCAAGATCATTTCCTCCTGCCCTGGGGGCCCCATCCGTCTTTCCGGCACTCACCCCCGGCCCGGTCTTGGGGCTCGGCCCGGTCTTCTTGAATTTCGCGACAAAGAACCCGTCGACGTTGTACATGTGCGGGTAGTACCTTCTTGTGAGATTCATCTTTCGGTCAAACGTCTTCCCCCTGAAACTCACAAGCCCTCGCGGCCAAACGTCAGCCCCGTCTCGACGAGCTTGACGTTGGGCCGCATGCGGAGCGCGTACTGCACGACGCCCTCGTTCTCGTCGACGGTGACGGAGCACGTCGAGTACACGATATACCCCCCCCGTTGCGCTGGCGTGGTCGACCGAGTCGATGGCCGCGAGGAGGAGCTGCTTCTGCAGGTGCGGGAGCTGCAAGAAATCCTTCTCGGTCTTGTTTGTCTTGACGCTGGGGTCCTTTGAGATGACGCCCGTGCCGGAGCAGGGGGCGTCGAGGAGCACGCGGTCGAAGCCGCCGATGAGCTTTGGGAACTCGCGGGCGTCGTGGTTGCAGACGATGGTGTTCTTGATGCCGAGGCGGTGGATGTTGCCGATGAGACCCTTCGTACGGGCCTTGTTTGCGTCGTTTGCAAACACGCAGCCGGTGTTCTTCATGAGGGCGGAGATGTAGGTTGTTTTAACCGCCGGGGGCGGCGGCCATGTCGAGGATGCGCTCGTTTTCCTGGGGCGCGAGGGCCATGACGGGGAGGAACGAGGAGGCGGCTTGCAGGATGTAGTTTCCTGCGAGATACTCTGGTGTTGCGCCGAGGGGGGACGGGGGCCTCGAAGATCTGGAGGCCGACTTTGGACCATTTTCCGACGGGCTCGAGGGTGACGGCCGCGGTTGATGAGCGCCTGCGCGAGGGTCTCTGCGGGTGGTTTTGAGGGTGTTTGTGCGGATGACGAGAGGACGTTGCTTCTCGTTTGCCTCGAAGAAGGAGAAGGCTTCGGCGGGGGAGAAGAGGTCGAAGAGTTCTCGGCGAGGTACGGCGAGTAGCCGTAGTATGCGCAGATGTCCTTGAGGAGCTGGGCGGTGTATTCTGCGCGGGAGCGGCCGGCCTCGGCGAGGGTGGAGAAGGACTCGAGCACGCGGATGGTGTCGGTGATGCGTGTCCTGATGAGGTGGATGTCTGGGGCGAGGAGGTCCTGTTCCTCGGCCTCGTTGTCTGCGCCGAGGGCGCCGAAGATCTTGACGTCGCCGTGATGTTGGTCTGCATTGCGTCTGCCTGGAGCTCGGCCTCGTTTTCGGCGTCCTCCTGCGCACGCTTTGCGTCGAGCTGGCGCGAGAGGCCCTCGATGTTTGCGGCGGTGAGCATCTCCTCTGCGTCGCTGTCGTCCTCGTCGTCGGAGAAGATTGGGCGGGAGGAGCGGGCGTTGTCGTCCGAGTCGAAGGCGGCCTCGTCGCCCGAGTCGAGAAAGTCGTCAGAGTCGTCCTCGTCGTCGGAGGCACCGAGGAGATCGGATCTGAGCTTCTCTGCGGTCCCGTTCGTGGGTTTCTTTACTGGGGTGGTTGTTGTGGATTCCACCTCAACGTCCTCCTCCTCCTCCTCCTCCTCATCCTCAGAGTTGCTCGCCTCGGACCCAACATCCTCCATCTCCTCGTCACTCTCTGCCCCGATATTCTCGATCCCATCGAGCCCGCCGGGATATTCATGCCCGTCACTATCCTCCGGATCCGACTCCGGCTTCGGCGTGAAATCCATCTTCCCCTTCTTGGCTCCCTTCCTCTTTGCCCCCAACGGGTATCATTCGCCCTGCCCTTCTTCGGCACCTCCTTCTCCCTCCTCTTCTCCTCAGCCTTCTTTACCTTCAACTTATCCTTCCCCTTGAGAGCCCTCTCCCTCTTCCCCTCCGCCCACAAGCTCTCCTTTGCCTCCTGCGCATCCTGCTTTGCGCGCTCAGTCTTCTTGAACTTCTTGACGGGCTCGACCGGCTCGGAAGACGCTGCTGCTGCGGCGGCGGCCGCCTTGCGTTTCTTTGAGTTTGGGTGCTCCGGGATGTGGTCGATTCCCGGCGCGATGCTCCCGATTTCGAGTTTGCGGGCCTTGAGTTTTGCGATTGTGGCGGCGTCGAGCGGAGCGGCGCGGCTTTGCTTGTATTTGGAGCGGCCTTTACCCATTTTGAGCTGATTTCTTTTGTGTGTGGGTTGTTTTCTTGTGGGTAAGTAAGTGGGTGTTGGGGAGGGGAGAGCTACTTCTTGGGGGTGGAAGAGAGAGTGAGTGTGTGAGCTTCTTTAATTACGAGAGCTCAATTTCTCGCCGGGAGGGGGGGTGGTGATGGTGATGGTAGTGGTGTTGTTGTACCTACTCTACTGCTGGGCCCCGTCGAGAGGGTTGAGTAGTGGTGAAAAAAGAGAGGTTTAGAGTAGTTGACAGTATAATGTGCTAGTATTTTTTCTTTGCGTTTGCAAGGGGTGTTGTGGAAGTTGAAATCTTGGCGCGGGCGCTAGAGGTGGTAGGGGTCTAGCTTCGGGGAGGGGTGAGCACGTGATGTGGGTGTGCCAAGCTTGTGGTGATCCCCGTGTGTGGGGTGTGTGTGTGGTGTGGGGAGGGTCGAGATGGGGGATAAGAATAACAGTGGTATGGGTGTTGTAGTGGCCATGTGGTCAGGGCGGGCGGGCGGGTGCCATCAAGTCATTAGATCAAAAGATATAGACATCCCATTAATCCCATCCCCGGAAGCTCCGCACCGGAAGCTACCTCAGAATATAGTATACCTGTATACCAGCCAGCTACCACCTGACCTGCTCTGCACTGCGATAACCTCATATCCTCTTTCACGAACCTCCAAACACACTCCCGCCCGCCCACGAACCGACTACAATAACAGAGGTATATCTATATCACGAAACAGCAAAACAGCGATACAAAGTAAAAAGCCATACACGTGCGGCATCAGAAAATCAAATCAACCAAAACCACAACCACAACCCACAGCCATGACCGAGCTCAGCTTCGCAAAACAGTTCCTCGTCGCCGTCAGCTCCAGGCCCGTCAAGTTCGCGGCCGACTACGCCGACGACCAGAGGAACTATCCCGCTAGGACGCCCGTGAGTACCTACAAAGCTTCCCCTCGCCAGAATCAGGAGATTTAAATATCAATATCGATATCAAGCTAACCTCAATCCTCCTTCTCCCGCACTACAGATCACCCTCCCAAAACCCTCCCGACTCCTGCCAAAACGTCCCCGCCTCGACCCCCCCCCAACAAGTACGTCCTCCCCTCTCCCCCCACATCCCTTCCACCTCCCCTACAATACCTAGGTACTCTCACTAACCCCCTCCCCCCCCCCCACTCTAGCAACCATAACCATCAAAACCCTCCGCGCCCCACACCTCACCCTCCCCCTCCCGCCCCTCCCCCTCAACACCACCACGATCCTCACCGTAAAACTCCTGGTCTCGGAACACACCTCCATCCCCATCCCAGCGCTCAAGATCCTGCAGAAGGGCAAGATCCTTGCGGACCCGACGTTCCTGAGGGAGGTTGTGCCCGAGGGGACCGAGGCCGGGGCGGGGGTGGTGTTGAATGTGATGTTTATGGGGGGGGCGGTGCCGAAGGGGGTTGAAGGGGAGGAGCAGGCGGGGGAGAAGATGGATGTTGATAGTACCTCCTCTCCTGTGGTGGATAGTAAGCCGAAGGAGGGGGAGGGGGAGAAGATGGATGTGGAACAACAGGAGGGGGAGGAGCCAAGTACGAAGGAAGAAGATGTGTTGAGTACCCCCGAATTCTGGGAGGACTTGAGGGGGTGGGTGAGCGGGAGGGTTGGAAAGGGGACGGGCACGGCGGTTACTCCCGTGGATGTCGATGCCGTGATTGGGCTGTGGAAAGAGGCGTGGGAGGAGAGGAAGAAGAAGAAGAGTGCGGCATAATTATAGTAGAGCAGTAGTATTAACATACGTAGATTGGGGCGGTTTTATCCACATCGTTCGTGGTAGTATTACGATTGCGATGAGGGTATATCCACCCACCCCTCCTAGTAATATTCTGTTTAATTATTGGATATTAATGACTTGCAAACTGTGTTTTTTGATATTGATATTTCTTTTAGCGTTCGTCCGTTGGCTCGCTCGCACACTCACCCTGCGATTGTGTATATATTTTTTATCGCGATTGTTTATCGTGCTATCCCATAGCTACCTAGGTACCCAGGTATGTTTATTTCACAATCAGGTTTAATATTGACCTAGCTTAGGAGGGAGGTACAAGGTACCTAGGGAGCTATAGCCCGTATCTGTAGTCTCATGCCATACTCTATTTAGTCCGGACGTTGCAGATCAGATACCCACCTCCCCGGGCCCGGGCTCTCACATAGGTGATATAACGAGTACAATAATAACATTAATACACCTACTTGCTTAAAATGCTAGGAAAGCCAATTGCAAACATGGCCTGCAATCAAAAAGCGGAGCCGGGGAGGCAGCACAAGACTGAAGGTGTAGGTAATGGAGGCCGATATCGATGATGAATTTTTCGTTTGTATATACATGATGGTCATTAATATTCATTTCTCCAACCTTCCCTGGGCACGAGATCACAACCTTCTCGTGTTCGAGCTCGGGGTTAACTAGTCTGTTGAACTCAGGGTAACAACCACTCAACACTCTACTCTACAACCCTACCCAAACCACAAGCCTGACGCAACCCATGTACCCATGTTCCACGTCACCCTGCAATACATCCCACCCATCCCTCCATATCCACCCCCCTCCGCCTAATAGGCATCAATCCTCAGCCCTGCTGGCGCAATGGTAGCGCGCAAGACTTCTAACTCCGTCGTCCATCTTTCTTCATTCAAGAAGGAAAAAAAACGAATAAAAAAGAGCGATATCTTGAGGTTGCGAGTTCGAGCCTCGCGTAGGGTTTTCTTTTTTTTTGGGATTTTTTGTCTTGTTTTTGCTTGATGCCGTCGTCGTGGATTTTAGCAACCGAACTTTAATTTACAACAGCTTTAAGTTGAAGCTTATAATTTCGAGCGACACACGAAATTGGTGATGCTGCTTAAATTTTCCTAGTACCCTCGAGGGTTTAATTCCTCTTTTGAACATGATCGACCATGTGTTGGATCGCAGGCTATGTTATAGATCTATATCATGATCATGATAAGAAAACTCAATTAACGTCGAGGTTGCCTAAAAAATTATTCTCGACCTAAAAAATATAAACTCATGATTGTTCTTGCAACTGAGGCTCATCAATAATTTCCTTTTCCTCGACTCTTTTGCGAATGATCATGGATGTACTTCAAGTAATGTAAACCTAGCCTCGAGTCAGGCGCTTGATGTAATCCATGTTATTCTTGTCAATGTAACTCTATTTCCCTTAAGTCAAGATCTAGCATAGAG